AAAACAAATGAAGCCTTAGCTCAAAGTCTATCTGTAGAATTGATAACCGTGGTGTCGAGGCCAGCTTGCGTGTACCTCGACTAATTCCACGGGGTACCTGTTACCTCCCAACAGCAACAAGTGCCAGGTAACTCCATCCACCAAGGCTTGGATAGATGATAACCGATAAGAGTTACCTAGTGACTTTTTGCCTCGGTTGGGATTTAAATCTGAAACCTTGTGGTTTTCAATCCACTTCATTGACCACTAACCCATACCATCCTGTGTTAGAACAGGGGAATTATACTAGTGAAATCTCTTAATACATTGAAGAAACACATGTTTAGACAATCTAAGATCCTACTGGCAAGAAGGAACCCTAAAAGGCGAGTGAATTTAAGGTCTGGAGGCTCATTTAATTTAAGTAGTGGAAGAGGTTAATTATCCCCCCTCCCCGATTCCCCCAAGGAAAAAAGGACAGCAGAGGTTAAATGTCCAGAGTAGAGGAGTCATTTATTTCTGAATATGTACTGATCTCGATGATGAGGCTTTGCTGCTGAGTGCTGAAATTTACTAATAGTATCTTTCGGAATGGTTGAAGTTGGCTCCTTTTTTAGCACTTATACTTGTTTGCTTATATAAAATTTGCTACTTCTTTGTTATATAGATTGAAAAAATCAAGTAACTACTCCGCGGGCTTTTATTTTCTGAAACCATAATATGGTGTACATATTAAAAATCATGTTTGTTGTTGGATTCCACTGTTTTTTTTTTTTTTAGGGGGGTGGGGTGGGTGGGGGAGTGTTAATAATCATGTTTGTTCCCTTTGTAGTTTATCACTTTCCAAAACATTCAATTGCCATAAAGCAGAATCTTACATTGTGCTTGCCTTGATTCTGGTTTCTTTCTTTTTTTCCTTTTAGTTTTCCCAGGATTTTAGGCATGGCTCCAGAAGCAAAATCTAGAATTGTGAATAAGAGGTTTCCTCCTAACACTGAAATCTCTCCCAAAAAAAATGGTAATGGGGACAATATGAAGAATAGCTTGCTGGTGAGTTCAAGAGATAATTTTATTCATGGTCATTGAACTTTTGTATTTGTTACCCAAAAGTCACTTTTTTTTTTGTTACGTAAAAATCATTTAACTTTGTATTCATTGCACAAAAGTCACTTTTCTTTCTTTTGTTACACAAAAATCATTTTACTTTGCTCTAGTTATCACAAAAGTTACATTTTACTTGAAAAGTCTATTATGCCCTTGATATTATATAAACCTTCATATTTATGTAATACCTTCTATATTATATACTATATAATATATTTTTAACTGTGTATTTTATTTATAAATAAAATAACTTAATATTATTTTATTTATTACTTTTATAATATATTCGTATATGTAATTTTTTCTTAACTTTAATTTTCAAGATATATTAGTAGCGTTAAAAAACAATTTTTTTTTCAGCAATTCTTTTTTTTGAATTTAATTGACCGACGAAAGTTGGTCGGAAATTACCGACCAACTTTGGTCGGTATGCCCTTCCAACCTTCAAAATACCGACACGCGTTAATGGTCGCGTTTTGGACGGTTATTGGCCATTACCGACCAACTTTGGTCGATTTTTTTGGACGGTTTTTCCCGAATTTCTAGTAGTGTAATTTTTCAAATAACCAATTACCCAGGTAAATCCCCAAGAAAATATCCCCAACTAAATTCGCATGTAGTACTGTCACGACCCGGATTTCCCACCCTCGGGAGTCGTGATGGCGCCTACTAATGAGAGCTAGGCAAGCCAAATTTAATTACTTGTCCATTAATAATCTAATCCATTTAACAATTTACGACAATAATACAAAAACAACGAAATTCAATAATAAGCGGAAGTCTTAACATTTTATAAAGCTGAATGGAAATGCGGAAGGTTCAACAAAATCCTCTACCCAAGACTGGTGTCACTGCACTCACGAACTGCTAAGAATACTACATACAAACGTCTGAAAGAGAACATAAGCTGTTTGTCTCGATTACAATGAGATAACAGATAAAAATAAAGGATAGAGGAGACGCCGGGCCTGCGGACGCCTGCAAGGCTACCTCGGGTCTCGCTGCAATGAAGTCTGCTCTCACACTACTGTTGCTGCTGCTCGAAACCTAGATCTGTGCAAAATAGCACAGAGTGTAGTATCAGCACAACCGACCCCATATGCTGGTAAGTGTCTGACCTAACCCCGGCGAGGTAGTGACGAGGCTAGGTCCAGACTCCAGATAAACCTGTACAGATATATATACAAGTACAACAGAAAAATAGCAAAAAAATAACAATTAAGCTGGGGAAGAGAGCATGCTTCAGGGGTAACAGATAGAAACAAACTATCAGGAATAATGGTACGTACATCTACAGTTTAACTTCCAACAATAATGAAAAGATAAGACAACTTTCATATTCAACTCATCTTGTTGCAGGCGTGCAACCCGATCCCATTTCTCAATATCTCGTGGTAGGCGTACCACCCGCTCCCATTTCAATATCACTTGTGGTAAGCGTACCACCCGCTCTCATTTCAATATCACTTGTGGTAGGCGTACCACCCGCTCTCATTTCATTATCACTTGTGGTAGGCATACCACCCGCTCCCATTTCAATATCACTTGTGGTAGGCGTACCACCCGCTCCCTTTACTTTCAACACAATACACAATACAATTCCGGCAAGGGAACAAATTAATACTCTTTCCGGCAAGGGAACTATAACAACAAGTCAAACATCCCGACAAGGGAGAGTCAGCTATAACCAATCCTATTCAACTTCTTCCTGGCACAACTAATACCAATATTTAGTCACAACATTCATAGGATCAAACAAGGGTACACAATTATCAAATTAAGACTCACGGTCATGCTTGACACCGACGCATGGATACTCATCACCATGCCCATACGTCGTACTCAACATAAACAAGTAGCAATTATGACTCAACTCCTAATCCCTCAAGCTAGGGTTAAACCAAACACTTACCTCGATGCTTTGGACTCAACTCAAGTCTCAACTATAGCTTTACCCTGTGATTCCACCTCCAATCCGCTCGAATCTAGTCACAAGTCACTTACTTTAATAAACGCTAAATGAATCAATTTGAATGCATAAAAATGAATTTTCCAAAGTTTTTCCCAAAAATTCCAAAATCGCCCCCGGGCCCACGTGGTCAGAACCCAAAGTTCGAACCAAAACCTGGTTACCCATTCCCCCACTAACTCAAATATGTAATTTGTTTTGAAATCGGACCTCAAATTGAGGTCCAAATCCCCAATTTTTGAAAAATCTAGCTTCTACCCAAAACCCCCAATTTCACCCATGAAAATCATTGATTCTAAGTGGAAAACATGTTAAATGATGTTAATGAGTGAAAGAATTAAGTAAAAATCGACTTACAAATGATTTGGAAGAAGTCTTGTTCTTGGAAAATCGCCTAAGTGTGTTTGGGTTTTGAAAGAATGATGAAAAGTGTTCAAAATTCGGCTAAGTATGAAAAAATGCAGGTTGTAGATGTGGAAAATGCGAACTGGGTTCGCAATTGCGAACCCTGCAGGCATGGGAAATGCGACATTTCTGTTCGCATTTGCGAACTCAGGCCTATCAGGGGCCCTTCGATGCGAATAAGGTCTCGCATTTGCGAGCCCTTGACCTTCGCATTTGCGAGGCATGGCTTCGCATTTGTGAACATTGGAAGGCCTGGGCTGGTTTCGCATTTGCGAACCAGCCTTCGCATTTGCGTGAGCTGGACCTTCGCATTTGCGAATACTGGCTTCGCAAATGCGAAGCCTGCAGATCAGAGATACCAGATTTTTTTTCAAAAATGCAAAAATACAATCCGACACCTATCCAAAACTCACTCGAGCCCTCGGGGCTCCAAACCAAATATGCACACAACCTCAATAACATCCTACGGACTTACTCGTGCGATCAAATCGCCAAAATAACATCAAAACAACGAATCAAACCTCAAAATCACAAGTTTTTCCTCAAACCTCATAAACTTTCAAATTTAGAGTTTTAAGTCCGAAACACGTCAAACGACGTCCGATTTCAACCAAACTTTACAGAAAGTGCTTAAATCATATATAAGACTTATACCGGGCGCCGGAACCAAAATATGAGCCCCATACCATCGTCTTTTAATCAAATTTCATTTTTATTTTTCCTTAATCATTTCCAGAAAATAATTTCACACAAAAATTCATTTCTCGGGCTTGGGACCTCGGAATTCGATTCCGGGCATACGCACAAGTCCCATATTTTCCTACGGACCCTCCGGATCCGGGTCCGTTTACAAAAAATGTTGACCGAAGTCAAATTTATTCATTTTAATATCAAAATTTAGCATTTTTCTCACAGAATTCAAATTTAAGCTTTCCGGCTACGCGCCCGGACTGCGCACGCAAATCGAGGCAACCCCAAATGAGGTTTTCAAGGCCTCAGAAGCACAGAATGAGTAAGGAAACAAGTGATGACCCTTTGGGTCGTCACAAGTACCTAAGTATTTTCCTTCAGATTAACATATGATTTGTTCCTCATTTTCTTTGTTTATTTACTTACGAATTTCCTCAGGTAAATGTAATTGGCGATTTATTTTTCTACTAATATATATTAAAGTTACTGACAAATTTAATAAAGCTACTAATATATTTTAAAAATTAACGTTAACAAAAAAAATATTATAAAAATAATAAATAAAATAATATTAAGTTATTTTATTTATAAATAAAATACATAGTTAAAACTTAAGTTGTTATTGTTATCTGGAACCATTTTGATTTAATTCCAAAAAATTCGAAGTCGGTTTTTCAAGCCAAAGTTCAAACTTGGAAACAAGTATACCTTAAGGAATTGGAAATGACAAATACTCAATTCGCCCTTTAGGTACAAGTCTGAAGTGACAGTCCAAAAAAAGTACACATTTATATAATATCATCACTTAGAGCTCAATTGAAGTAAATTTCACATTAAACTTGAATAGGTAATCTAGAAGAAATGTAACACTAATTATATAAACATTCATTTTAAGTCAGGATAAACATAAACAACTTGAAATATGCAGGTAAATTACTACTCACAAGCAGAGACTAATGAGTAAAGACAACATTCATTCCATCCCTGAAAGCCAATATCTCATCCACCCAAAGAAAAGTAGAAAATTCACCAACATTAAAGGTTGGTTCAGAAACAACACCAACTCTTAGTGTACTTAACATAACACAAGATATAGGGACTGATAGCAAGGAAAACTCATTCTGGAAATAGTAGTGCTCTTAAGACCTAGTGGATCTTAAAATTTATCTACCTATACGAATCTTGGCGCTTTGGTTTGCTTTGAACAACAGCCTCAATCTTCTCCATCACAGCAGGTGTTAACATTGGAATGACATTGATAGCTTTCATGTTTTCTTCAATCTGCATTAATGAATATGTAATGATTAATATGAAGAAGCAATCAATAACAAACAACTACGCCTTAATCCCCAAGCAAGTTGTGATCAGCTATACGAATTCTCACTGCCCATCTCGCCCATTTAAGCCCTCTCGGCAATATTATAAAAACTTAGTTTCTCTAGCACAATGAAGAAGCTATTAGTAAAAGGAAATTGATTGTAATTAGAGATTAGTAAGCTGATCATAATCCAGGGAGAGATGTCACCAACTTCGGAGACTACGTTAAAGCACATACGGAAGTTACAAAATAAGAATTCTTGCTCTGCCAGCATGATACAAAGTTAAGATTATGTTAATCAAAGTACTAGAAGAGAACAATCCGAAGAGAAGATTGTATCGTTTTCTCCGTGGATGTCTCTAGAAATTAAGTTAATCATTAGAGATTAAGAGTAAAAACAAATCAATAAGAGAACTTATTTCAGAAAGCAAAGTAAGAGGACTTCCTTTTCTCCCTTTTAACTTGTTTTGGAGAGGGGGCATCAGGCCTGAATTCAGTTAATAAATATATACTAGAAAGTAGAAGCTATAAATTATGTTCAGAAATGTTTAATAGACCAACATGATTAACTAAAAAGAAAGACAAACATGCAATAATTGGAAACTTTTGTTAAAAACTATAAATATAAATGCAATACGCGGCATACAATAAATACTCTATATCATGCCGTGTTCAAAATGCATGCGAAAAAAACAGAAAGAATACAATTTAAAAAAAAAAACGTTCGAGATTGATATCAATACTTGAACTGCGTACTAACAAAATGCAGGCCAAGACCAAAGAAAAAGAATCATTGTCTGAAAGGGAAGCACAGGGATAGCATAAATGGAAAACTAACGGACCTGATACTCTTTGGTGGCACCGGTAATAACAGACGAGACATTAGGATTTGCAGCACACCACGCAATTGCCAGTTGAGGCAGAGGTACACCTAGTGACTCAGCAATCGGTTTCAATCCATCTACTTTCCTCAACACATCATCCACCAAAGATCTGTTGGCGAGATTCTGCAATGCATAAGATTACTAGTCAAGTTTCTTGAATAGGAGTAGTTTAGAAAAGCGAGTGACAATTGACAAAGAAAATGTTTACATAAATAACAAAGTATGCACATGCATACACATCAATACATGAAGTTTGGATATGTCCACACAAGCATATATCTGATCTTATTTACAAGGAAAACTTTCACTTTTATTGGACCTGTGGTTCCTCTATTTGGAATGCAACTCAAAAAATCTTGAACCTCTTCTGACAAACACAACCCATAAAGTGCAAAAAAAAAAAAAAAAAAATAATCTGAAGCGACCTGCTGATAGCATTTTTATTCCTTGTTTTTTTTTAGACTAGCGCGACTTTTATTACATACTTCCAGGTTGTAGCACATAAGAAAAAGTTAATTCTTTTCACGTTCTAGATTAGGATTATAAAAAACAGGACAAGGATATCTGCACACAAACATTAGGAAATAAAAACTACTTGCTTGATATCTACATGTCTAAGGGAAGCAAAAATTCCTTTTGACACACATAAACAGTCCATTTTCACAAATGAAGATGCTGGTTAAAAACCACAAGAACTAACTGCTTGATAGATCCTCGGATCATCTTAAAGTTGGAGAACTTTAACTCTTGAACGCCATCTTATTCATGGCAAGTAGTAGAACATGTACATACAGGTGCATACAAAAAAAGGAATTATTACGATGCTAAACTTGGTCTAATATTCGTACTAGCATCACTCTTCCTTTACTATAGTTTTACGCTATCATTACATGTTAGCGATTAAAAACTGTCATTCTTATTTTTTTTAAAGTAAACAAAGTGTTAATGAATTAGCACCTATGTGGGTGCTGAAATGAACAATGTGTGAGATTAAAAAGGATGAAAGTCCTACTGTTCCTGTAGAGTGTCGAGGAACTCAAAAAGACTATCAAGGTTGTACACACGTTTTAAGTTAGTACAAAAAGCAAATAAGTAGAAACATTTGTATTTGAGTGTACATACAGGTGCATACAAAAAGGGAATTATTACGATGCTAAACTTGGTCTAATATTCGTACTAGCATCACTCTTCCTTTACTATAGTTCTACGCTATCATTACATGTTAGCGATTAAAAACTGTCATTCTTATTTTTTTTTAAAGTAAACAAAGTGTTAATGAATTAGCACCCATGTGGGTGCTGAAATGAACAATGTGTGAGATTAAAAAGGATGAAAGTCCTACTGTTCCTGTAGAGTGTCGAGGAACTCAAAAAGACTATCAAGGTTGTACACATGTTTTAAGTTAGTACAAAAAGCAAATTAAGTAGAAACATTTGTATTTGAGTGTATGTGAAGCTACTGTCAGCCCTTTAAAACGACGACTTTCGTTTCTTTCTATATTAGTTATTACCCATAGTATGTACGCTGGTATAGTGCGTTAGACAGCATTAGGAGTATTCTCAAAAAAAAAAGTATTCATCTTTCTCCCCAACCAGCTAATAATAATAGCAACCGTTAGCTGTCCAGACATGCTCCAATTAACATCAGAGAGGCAAAGAAATAGTTGTGCTAGTTGAGTAGCCACTGGTCAGTGCAAAGAGAGGTGATTAATATCTTCTGAGTTGCTGGAGCAAAGATTTATTTTGAGAATAGTTTCTGGATCAAAGATTAAATCTATAGCACAAGCAAAGCCTCTTCTAAGCAGATTCGAATGAGTTGGGCAACCATTATTCACTTAGATCTCCAGTCATGGTTGATTTAACATTAAACTTCAATAATTCTTGCAAATCTCCTCTCTTTCTCAAAAAAAAAAAAAAAAAAAAGGAAATTTTGTTCCCTTGAAAAACTTTCACCAATTATTGGTGTTACTCTTTACGAAGTTCTCTTCTCTTACAATTAAGGGGATTTCAACTTGTTGAGCCCAAACTCTTTAATCAACTTTTGCAACTTGAGCTTCCTTTAAGTCTACTACTCAACCAGCTGTTCAAAGAAATTTCCGATTTAGTTATTTAGGAAGCTATCAACTAGGAACTATTGACGACCATGAGTAAATACGAGAGCATTGACTTAAAAGCCAATCAGAATGGCAGCATAAAGTTTTCAATAAACAGGATTTTCTTGTAAAACTTCGAGGGTTTTACCTTGTAATTTTCCAGTGCAAATCGACTGTCTGCTGGAATGTTCCCTGCATTATATTTTCCAGTCAGAACGCCTGAAGCAAGAGGACTCCATGTGGTAAGACCAATGCCATAGTTGCTATACAGAGGGAGGTACTCAGATTCAACCTGCAACAATTAAATGAGGTCCATATTGTTAGACAAAAGACACATGACAAATTGCAAATACAGAGAATGACATTTTTGCAAAGTTAACATTGGAGCTATAGGCGGAGACCAAATGCAATAAAATCTGACAATTCAGGTAGTGATCAGCATAGAAAATAGCATGCAACTAAGATTCTGGCAGCCAAATCGCTCAAACAAAAGCAGCGTAAATCAAAATCAGATCCTGAAGAAGAAGCAACAATGGACAACATTAGACCACATGTAGCATACTTAGACAAGACGTTCACAGAAATTTCTACAGCTAACAACATATTTTCTCTTCTCATACAACAAAGGGCGATGGATGGATTTTGCCATGTATAAATAGCAACATTAGACTTGCCACACCCTGAAAATCCAACACTGAAGCTGTCACGACAGATGTACAGCTGTAAAAGAATGCAGTTTTGCAATAAAATATCTGACTGTAGAGAGACCTAGAGGATACAACAGTAACACCTAATACTATGCTCAGTACCAAACGAGTTGGGGTCACGGACCGTATTTATCCATTAAAACTCATCTCAGGCCAATATTACAACAACAACAACAACAACAACAACAACAAGCCCAGTGTATTCCCACAATTGGAAGGCCAATATTACAAAAAATAAAAATAAAAAGTACTAGAAGTTCTCTATATTTTTACCGGTGTATAAATCTATGATAGGGTTGAAAGACTCCTAGAAAGAAAAGATTGCCTGAACCAAAAAATGAAAAAGACTCAGTACTAACATGACTAAAGACAACCCTCAATTAATTAGTATAGCCTATAAAGAAAAATCTCTTATTTTACCTCAAATACCCAGTCATGTATTATCACCATTAACCCACTCCTTCCATATTGCCTATAGAGAAATATCTCATATTTTACCTCAAACACCCTGTCATGTATTATCACCATTAACCCACTACCTCCATATTTCACATTTCACTTGTCTAATTATCTTATAATTATTGATTTTTGAACTCCCCGACTCTACATCCTAAATTCACATATGACAAAAACAAGTATTCCCTTTGTCCCAATTAATGTGGATTCTTTTTTATTTTTAATCAGTCCCAAAAAGAATGTCGCATTTTCTTACTAAAATTAATTTATCTTTACAATTCCTACTTTACCCTTAATGAATTGATTTACAACCACACAAAAATCTATGTTTTGTTTTAGATAACAAGTTTCAAAATATTCTTTTTTTCTTGAACTCCGTGACAAAACAATCTAAACTTGTTGTTTTAGGCCCGAACTTGTGTTTACATATGAAAATATGTAAGATCACATTTATTCTGAACTCACACTCTACACGTAAAATCACATTTATTCTGAACTCACTGCCTTTACACATAAGATCACATTTATTCAGAAGTCCCTGACTCTAGATATAAGATCGCATTGATTCTGAACTCCCCGACTCTACATCCTAAATTCACATATGACAAAAAAAAAAAGTATTCCCTCTGTCCCAATTAATGTGGATTCTTTTTTTTAAATCAGTCTCAAAAAGATCCCATTTCCTTACTTAAAATTAATTAATCTTTACAATTCCTACTTTACCCTTAATGAATTGATTTACAACCACACAAAAATCTATGGTTTGTTTTAGATAACAAGTTTCAAATATTCCTTTTTATTGAACTCCGTGCCGAAACAATCTAAACTTGTTGTTTCTGGCCCGAACTTGTGTTTACATATGAAAATATGTAAGATAACATTTACTCTGAACTCACACTCTACACATAAAACCACATTTATTCTGAACTCACTAACTCTACACATAAGATCACATTGATTCTGAACTCATTGACTTTACGCATAAGATCACATTTATTCTGAACTCTACACACAAGATCACACGTATTCTGAACTCGCTGACTCTACATAGATCAGATTTATTCTGAACTCACCGTCTCTACACATAAGATCACATTTATTCTAAACTCACTGACTCTACACATAAGATCACATTTATTCTGAACTCACTGACTGTACATCTTGAATTCACATTTTATAAAAGGAAATACCAAAATTAGAGTCAAAAGATAATACCTTGTGCCTAGACAACAAGTTGTACTCAGGCTGTTCAACAATAGGACCCACAAGATCCAATCTTTGAGCAACACCCCAAGCTTCAGTAATCTGTTGAGCTGACCATTCACTTGTCCCCCAATAAAAAGCCCAACCTTTATCAATCACATAATTCATAGCCCTAACAGTTTCTTCAATAGGTGTACTAGCATCAGGCCTATGACAATAAATCAAATCCACATAATCCATATCCAGTCTCTTCAAACTAGCTTTCGTCCCTTCGATTATATGTTTTCTCGATAAACCCTTATCATTTGGACCCGACCCGCCCCAGAAAATCTTAGTAGATATAACAATATCTGATCTTTTCCAACCCAATTCACGAATTGCTTGCCCCATAATTTCTTCTGCTCTTCCATTAGCGTAAACCTCGGCGTTGTCGAAGAAATTGACACCGTGGTCACGACATTTTTGTAAGAGGGATTTAGCTTCTTTGACATCGAGTTGATTGCCGAAAGTGACCCATGCTCCGTAGGAAAGTTGGGATACTTTTAGGCCTGATCTGCCTAAATTCTTGTACTGCATTTGCATTTTTTGTTTGTTGGGGGCAGATCAAGAAGAGAGAAGAGGAAATGAAGATTTGCTGTTTTAATAGAAGTAGAAAGAAGTATGAGAATTTGGGAAGGAGTTGAAGTGTTGGAAATGTCTTATACTGTAGTAGCTTAGCTGTATACAGTATACACTTGGCAGAAATTTGAGGGATTGTTGAGTGTGATGGGATCTACTGCGCTAAGCAGTGACCTCTCCTCTGATGTGAATGCACTTTTTATAACTACACGCTGTGATTTGTCATTTTATCTAGGGAAAATTTCACATTAGAACAACTAGGTTTCTACTTTTTAATTTTATAGCTCATATTTTAATTTACAACCAACTAGACAAAAAATAATAGGCTAAGATTCTACATCCCACTCCAATAGGTTCTCAAAATTACCATTTAATTTTTAAACAAGATTCCTCAAGCTTTTAAATTAATTTTCGAATCAGTAACTGTGACTCAAATATTAGTTCAACAAACCAAATTCATTTGGGTGGTAAAAATTAGATTTTTAACAAGCTAAAATATGTAGGTTTAATTTTCGAATTTGATTTTGTGAGAAATTTGGAGTGGGTGTTATTTAGACTTGTTAGAAATAGTATAAGGAGGTTTTATATAAAATTTGAAGTCATTTAATGGAGTGTTGGACTGGTTTTGAACAAGAACTGCGACTGAAAATCGTGGAATAAGTTCGTCTACAGATGCTTGTATGAAGGTGTATAAAAGTGTATAATAGTGTAAGGTGTGTTTCTACACTCATATACACTATTATACACTATTATACAAAAAACTGACTTCGTCTTCTTCCTTGCGTCTTTTCTGAAATTTAACTCAAATCTTGCTCAAATCTATTCCAAATCACTTCAAATTTAAATTTTGAACTCCTTTTGATATTTTCAATCAATTGGAACAACACCCAATCCAAACAACTAACAAATTCAAAAAAACTCATTTTTAAAAGCAAAGCTTTGAATGGTTTTTAATGGTGGACTTCTACTCTTCAATTTTCTTACATTGCAAGCATGTGACACAAGAGGAGAAGCAGAAAATACACGGCCCCTTGAAGCATATGTAGAAGATGTGAGAAGAAGAGAGAGTGAAAGCAATGGTTCTGAGAACACAGATTTAACTCCATAGCTTTTAGAAGCAATGGTTGTAAGAACACAGATTTTGAATTTGCTAGTGCTTTCAAAATATATACAATGTTAGGTCGGGTAAAACTTAAAAATATGGATCATTTTTTGATATGGTATAAAGTCATGTGTATTTTCTTGTAATTCTTTCTTTTATCTAACACATTTTTTTGAGCGATATAATAACAACAATGACAACAGTATACCCAATGAGTCTGATGAGTCTCATGAGGGAATGTGTAAACCGACTTTACTCAAGGTAGAAAAGTTGTTTATGATAGATCCTCGATTTTTAAAAAAAAGAAGCAAAAATACGATAAGGCAGAAGCCACGAAAAAAGAAATAATAACAACAGGCAGAAAAAATGAGATAACTGTATACGATAAAAATCAGAAAGCCCGATTTTATGGCCGTTGTAGCGCTTCGCAAGCGCGTCTCCAAAGGCTCGAGGCATGGCTCGAGGTTCGACCTCGAGGCAGTGCAAATCGATGACTATCATGAGAGAGCGAGAAGTTCCCAAGGCACGTGACCAGAACTGACAATACCTGCAAGGGAAAAACTAGTCTGTACCAGACTAGTGAATAGCTGTGCCAGCTATATTTCTTTGTAATAATTACTCATGTATTATGTTGGGATTTCCCTTCCTACATAAAGGGGACCCTTACCATTTTGTAGGATATATACAACATTATATGCAACATATAGAACACAACACACAATATTGAATACAAGAACATTCTCTGCCCTCTAACTTAAATATATTCTCCCTTGATTTTATTATTTACATTCATTGCTTACATTTATTGTGTGCTATTAATTGTTCTTCATTTATTGTTCATTATTGATCATAAAGAGCCTTCATCGAAGCTCTCAAAGTTGTTAGTCCTCCGCCGACTGTTCATAACTTAGCATCAAGCTCGACCTTGAGGCCCCTTATAACCAGGCTCGAGGCCCCGATTCTCAGCCACTCGGTTTGCTTAAACATACTATCTTCAAGCTCTTATCTTATTTTCTAGTCTCTTACTTAGCATCTATTCCTTAACAACTAGCATAAAAATAAATCACGTATTTTTAGAACCAAAAAATCAAATCTAATTGTTATTACCATTTTCACGGTAAACAATAACAACAAAAGAAAAAAAAACTCAGTGCAGTCCCATAAATAAGGTCTGGAGAGGGTAGTGTGTACGCAGACCTTACCCAACCTCATAATGATAGAGAGGTTGTTTCCGATAGAGAATCGGCTCAAGGAACAGTAGAGATAAGATAAAGCAGCCAAATAGTAAATAAAAGTGACGATAATGCATTATGATGACGGGCGTGAATGATACAACAACAACAAATACAACATATAATAATAAAAAAAAAACATGACTAAGATAATACAAAAATAATCTTAGTATTACTAGTAAGCATAGGAGGAACACACTACTAACTCTCAACCTACAATCCTAATCCTCGACCTCCACACCTTCCTATAAAAATCTAAGAATAAAAAATACGAAAATAATATTTATACTAAATGATGTACAACAACAGCAACAACAAACCCAGTGTAATCCCACAAATAAGAGTCCAGGAAAGGTAGTGTGTACACAGTCTTATCCTTATCTTGTGCGGGTAGTGGGTTGTTTTCGATAGACCCTCATCTCCAAGCAAGCATGCAAATCACAACAGTATAGAGAAGAAATATTAATATAAAAGTCAGGAAGCAGTAACACAACAAGGAAGTAGAACTACCAAACCACAAGCAATATGAGGTAATAATAGAATTTTAAGCATATGAAAAATACTAAAATAAGCTACTACTGGTGGAAGGAAAGGGAAGACGTGCAAATGCCTACTAGCCTTCTACCCTAATCCTCGCCTTCAATATCCGCCTATCAAGGATAATGTGCTCGGTGAGCTGAAGATGTTATGTCCAGCCTAATCACATCTCCCCAATACTTCTTCGGCATATCTCTACCTTTCCTCACACCCACCATTGTCAATTTCTCACACCTCTTCACTAGGGCGTCCGGACACCTCCTCTTCATATGCCCAACCCATCTCAATCTCACTTCCCACATCTTGTCCACGACGGAGGCTACACTTACTTTGTCCCGAATATCTCCACTCTACAAAGTGGTGGTTAAACCAACTATGTTGTATCAGACGGATTGTTGGCCAGTCAAAAACTCTCATGTATTATTATTTATAAATAATTTAACCTTTTTCTCTCTTAATATTATAATAATATTTATGACCCTTCTTATTATAAGATTTTAAAATATTTGTTTTTTTAAATTAAACTACGTATCCTACATCGTCACATAAATTTGAGGGAGAGGGTAACTAGAAAAAAAATTATTTTTCTTGTAACTAGAGAAAACAATATTTCACCTTTCAAATAATAATACTACTAAAGTAGGTTCTATTTTCTTTTTATTATTATTATTATTATTATTGTTATTTTTCTTTTTTGGAATCAACACTGACATTCGCTGGCGTGTTGACAATACTGCCATGTGATAGAGAGTACTTGTTAGGCCGGATCCGATTGCAACGTTTTTCTTTTTTGTTCGTTTCTATGAAATTGGTGTATCATTTTTGCACATTCAAAATTTAATTGTGTTTGCAGTTTTAGTTTGCGGAGGTCGAGGATTAAGGTTGTAGGTTAGTAGGTAGTTGAGTGTGTTTTCGAACAATTCTAATGCTATTAGTGGCAATCTTGTATTCTAATATTGTAGATTTCTATCACTATATGTTGTTCTTTCCGCCTTGTTTTCTTTTATCTTGTTCTCGTCACTGCTTGTGCTCTACTGAAAATAGTCTCTCTACATTCAATATTTCGGGAAGGTCTGCGTACTACCCTCCTCAAACCCCACTTATGAGACTATAGAGAGTTTATTTTTGTTGTTATTGACATGATTGATCATAGTCCTGTGTGAGAGTGGGTTAAAAAGTTGTGTTTAAATATAAATTTTTTTGAATAACATGTTGAGCGGGAAGCAATATCTAATTTGAAATACACATTCAAATCAGTATTTTAGTATTTCACTTTAATTTGAGAGACCTCCCTCCAAGTTTGACTTGATAATACTTGCTTCCTTTTGGGGTTGCAATATTACACTTACCTTCCTTATTTGATTGTCTTGTAACATTATTTTAATTTATTTATTATCAATACAAACTAATTATCATCTGACCAATTTACCCTTCAAATGTATATTTTTTCATGTCAATTTTATAGGAGTTTTAGGATGAACAAGACATATGAACACGCTTCAAACGTAAGTATAAATGCAAAAATCTACATACAATTTTATTGTATGTGTCTATGGAATAAGATCCCTAACTATTGTTGCCAAAAATACGCCATTGAAGTTGATGATGACCGAAACGAAATCAACGATAATCTTCATTGTCATATAAAATGATTAGATTTTACCTAGGCCCTCTCGACAAGACACATGGTTTATTAGAACTCTTTGGTATTTCTCTTTGCAGAATCCCATTTCTAATATCGTATGCTTTTGATGACTTAATTTTATAAATTACTCCAAAAAAAATAAATGAATAAATTAAAAACAAGGAGAAATTAAATAAACTCATGAGACAGAAAAATGTTTGGAGGTGGCGAACTAGCTAAATTTGGTAAAATTTTGAGATTGTAAAACATAACAAGCTCTAATAGCGGCAGTTTATGGAAAAGGATTTAGATTAAGTTAAAGAAGATATTTAGTAAGTTAACCGATCAATCAATCAAAAATTTAAAAGAATAAATTAGTCATTTAGTACTTTTTTTTGACATTAATAATAAATAGCTTAAAACAAATGTTACAAAAGAATAAAAATAAGGGAGGTAAGCATAATATTGCAAATCACAAGGTGAGTGTTATCAAACCAAACTTGAAGGGAGGTCTCTGAAATTATAAATAGTGACATTCACTATTTGCAAATATTCTTGACAACATTAGTTATCTATCTATCTATCTAT